TCGGCAAAAATTGTCTAAGTCTGTAAGGACGTTAAAGTCAAAAGTCCTGTGTTCTGGCCAGCAAGAGCTATTGTCTAGCGGCTATTGAGGTCACATTGTGGTAGACTAAAAGATGAGGCGTTTGGGGCAGATGTCTTGGTCTAGTAGTAAGATCTGAAGGTTTGTTAATAAACACCCCAGAGGGGTTGTTGGATCGATTTTGGTGTTTTGATTACCCATTGGTTTTGAGTTTTTCAGGTAGAAAAACTCAAAGCCACCAGAACCCTATGGCAATGGGATAGGGCCACTAGAACTCTATGCCAGCTGGACTGTTTTGCGTAGGTGGACGTCTCTGCCTGACACTAGACTGTCGAATGAGGGGTACACCCTCAGGGGAGGTAGGATGTCAGGCATCCCCGAGCAACCAAACTCCCAGACTGTGAGGAATTTCTGACGTGGTACCACGATTTTTCTGGGGTTCCTGGAACCCTGTGCCAGTGATGCAGAAAACTCCGGAACAAAACTCAGACTTTTGGGCAAGTCAACTCTCCAAAGGTAATCCACAGGAGATATTAAAAGAGGAAAGTAATTAAACTGGAGACATGAAAAGAGGAAAGTAATCACACTGGAGACATGTCCCAAGGACCACTCAGATGCCCGGTTGTCCGCTCCCCCCTCAGGGATTTAAGTGAGTCTTTGGCTAAGGTGTCTCCGTATAAACCCTGGAGCGGAGGGCAGAGCCACACCGTTGTGCCGATCTGACTTCACACGGAAATCAACTGAGGGCCCACTCAGACTCCGTGACTTAGATCTTGGAGCATCACAGAAACATTCACACAACTTCTCAGTCAGACGCAGACAGGTTACAACAGAACCAATTCAAACCGTCTGGTAGTAGGCACTGTTTCATCGCCCAGAGTCAAAAAATTAAAATGGCCCACAGGATGGAGGACAACAGAATACAAAATGTATGTCCTCCGGTGGGCATTGAGTAAAGGGTAAGATGTGACTTACCGGTGGTGGATGCTGGGGGCCGGAATTCCCTGGTCCAGGGGAAGAGGGAGAAGGGGAGCAAGAATTCCCTTGAGTTCTACTCCTCTTCCTGGGTTTTGGCACCAAATGTTATGCAGAGTTGCCGAGACACCAGGACACAGAGTTGTTTCAGAAGAGCAGTTTATTAGCACTCC